CAATCTGTTCTTCATAACATTGATAAATTATATTATCTCAATTTTAAAAAGGAAAAAATAACAAGAACTAAGATATATCATGTACAGGTACAAATTCCCAATGATGAATGTGATAATGTATACCTAAAATGTACCAATAAACTTAATTAGAAATTAAAAAGGAACTAGCAATGCCTCAATCATTACAATGAAAATATAGCTCAAGATATATTTCAACACACACACCCTTAAGAACAGTCCAACTCAAAAGAAGCACCTTAAAATTCTTCACTGTGCATGGTCACACACTTGTAATTTCTCTGAGAGGCTGAGGCAAGGAGACCACAAGTTCAAGTCTAGCCTGGGCAACTTAACAATATACCCTGACTCAAAATTTAAAAGGACTGGGGATGTAGCTCAGGAGTCCCTGGTTCAATCCCCAGTACTGCTAAAATCATAAATCAATCAAACTTTTCCTCTCTATATAAACAGGATAAATTCTGCCTCAACTATAAATGGTTATTCTTTGTAAAAATCATCACTTTACCAGAGAATACTAATTTTTTTTTTTTTTTTTTTTTTGGTACTGGGGATCAAACTTGGAAGAACCATTGGGCTAAATAAATCCCTGGCCCAGAATCCTAAACTTAAAGATCTTCCACTGAGTGTTATTAGTCACTATGAAAACCAAGTGAAATATCCAACATTTCTAAGGTGGTCTTTAAATAGGAAAATGGAGAACCCTTCATTATAGCTAAAGATTTGTTAAGAAATCCAAAGTAACAAACACGAGTAAGAATTGTCATCCATGGGGAGAGGAGAATGAGAGGAAGGGGAGAAGGGGAATTAAAAAGGATCAAGATGTGATATGTGTATGTACCAATTTCCCACAATGAATGCATTTACTACGTATCACTAATTAATAATAGTAATAATTTTTAAATTACAGTGTCCAGAAACCTGACTTCTTTGTTTGACTTTGCCACTGCCTGACTGTGAGAGCCTGGACAAGTCACATGACTTAAATTTTCTGGTCTGTTTCCTCTTCTGTAAAATGAGGAAAATGGACAAAATAATTTTTCTCTGAGCCCTCCTTGAATTCCAACACCCAGAAGGAAAACAGAGCTGCTGAATGAAAAAATAAGCTTACAGATACAGAATACAACTAGGTCCCACATAAACATCAACTTCTTTTTTATTTTTTCCATGAAGGAAATGCTTGAAGGCATTTGCCTTCAGGAAGCAAAGCTCAAGGATGTGCCATCAACAGCTGATAAAGAACAGCTAGTGGAAGAGGAAGGCATTAAGATAGAAAGCCTTGGATAAGAAGGCATAAGAGAGATTTGACCTTGGTTGGGCAATGAGGGATTGCAACATAAAAGAAATGAGCTGGAAGGCACAGACTAGAGCAAGAACACAAATTCAAGGGCAAAGGAAGATGCTCTTAATACATTAGTATGTTTTCTTTGCACACTAAATTAATAGGAAAGAGGTAAGTACTTATAGCATTCTGAAAGCAGCAGGAACTGACACATAAACGTGGGCAAAGAACTACCTTGTAAGATCAAAAGCAGCTAAGGAGAGAACAGAGGGGACGTCTGGTTGCAAAATTCTAGAGCCTTTAGACACTAGAGACTACTGGATACCACATAGTGGTTCACCTTAAACTCCTGGACATAAGCCCTGACTGTGTCTGGACAGATCACTGCTATCTATAGTTTGTGAATTATTTTTTTTTCTTGTCTGTCAGAGTGGCGACACAAGCACTAAACTAAGGGTACTCAGTCAGGCGCCCTTCCTCCTCTCCACCTCCCTTTCATTCCTAAATTAACAACCTATCAATCAAACCAAAGGCAGAGGAGGAGGCAGGAGCTTGAAGGTTCTGTCTTGTTTATCCCTCAACATTCCCTCCCTAGTCTTTTCTGCTGGCAGGAAGTATGAGGCAGGAGTGTTCAACAACAATTCACGGCAGCAGCAATGCTAAAAGCCATCTGTGATCTCTCCTAGAATGCTAGGAAACAGTACAGGGAGCCCTGCCAGAGAGGTGTGGCGGAGCAAAAGCAGATTCCATGAAGGCAAATCCATATCCTTGGCTGACAGAAAATTTCCTTGGCCACAGCCTGAAATATCTACCTTGATGAGAGAGAAGGACTTGAGATAGGTAATTTGAATATTAAAATCTCCCTCATTACTAGAGTCAACAGGGGACAGTTCTACCCTGCAATGCAGACCCCACTGTCTTCTCTCCTATTTCAAAGCAGGGGGCACAGGGGTGAGGGGGAATTCTACTCTAGACATTTTCCAAATTTCATGAGTTTGACCTCTTAACTCCCAGCTCAGAGTTGCAGTTCTAGACTACAACCAAACACCTGTTTTGATGTTTTGCTTCTGTTGGTTGTCCCTACAAAGAAGGAATATTCCAAACCAGTTAGGCCATAGGAAAGCCTGTATTTCACAGAAAAGAAAACCTTCATCACCAAACAATGACTTGAGCACCTTTTTTATGTCCAAAACTGAGGTTCTTATTTCTCAAGAGCTGTTCCCTGCAAGGCTCCTAACTTTCCTTTTCTTTCTTCCTTCCTTTTATTTTGTTTTTTGGAAAGCTTTGCTTTTGTTTTCTGAGAAAGGGTTTTCCCTTTGTAGTTCAGGCTGCCCTTGAATTCACTGTATAGCCCAGGTTGGCCTCAAACTTGCAGCAATCCTCCTGCCTCAGCCTTCTAAGTGCTGGAATTACAGGCATGGTGGCACTATGTCTTTATCTGTGGTTCTGGGAATCAATCCAAAGCTTCATGCTTGCTAGTAAAGCACTTTACCCTTGAACTACAATCCCAGCCCTGCTCTCTCTCCTTCCATTCTAGAAATGCTCCCTCCCTGGCACAGAGTGTTTTCATCGCCTACTGACTTCCAAACATTCATTTTAGGTAATTATTTCTCTGGCCAAGGCAATACGGTAAAGTAGCCCCAGAACCAGCATATTCAAAAGGGTTGAAGGAACAAAGGAAGGGCTGTGAAAGCAGGTTCTTGTTCATGGTAATGTCAAAATGCACTGCAAATTTTCTGCTTTCAAAAGTACTTTCAGCAATTTTATTTTTTCTTCAAAAACTAAAGTGCCATCTCCCTTTCCTCTTTCACTCCACTGCCCCATGCTCGGTCTCCCAGGAGGGACAAAGCCACATTAAGAGGCAAAACTCCCTGGCACCAGGGTGTTTTGTTAGCTGAATGTACTGCATCTTTCAGCCCAATTATAGTCTGAAGGGCAGCTACCCAACCAACCCATGCGCCTATAAGAAAGAAAATGGGTTCCATTTGCTTCACTGTAGGATACAATCATGGACATTTAGACTTAAATCCAGTATGAAGCTAGGCAACATTAAGCCTTTCACCCATAAACTACAACTGGGCTTAGAAGACTGCAACGTAAGCATTGTAATAGAAAAGAAAAAGTCACCCTCAGATGGCTTTCAGCACAGGAAGAACAATTACCAACATGGATGTATGGCAGAGTTTCCTCAAGCCATTACGAAGGGAACAGTCTAATAGGCCTGGAACAGAAGCAAGAACTCCTGGTACTCCTAGGCCTCTTGAAAATAGTATTATCCATCTGCACCCCAGAGAAAATGGCAAATCACAGCCAGCACAGGATGAGCCATGCCAGTTACCAGCTGGAACTGTACTCCAGTGAGGTGGACTCAAACATCTGCCACCTAAACACAGGCAGCCTCTCTGGCAGCTGCTGCTGATAAAAAGGAATACACCATTGTGTTATTAGTGTAAGAAATTCACAGCTCTTTTACCAGAGAAGCCCAGATGTTGCTAAAAGCTACAGATGTGCCAGAGGCAAAGACCAAAATACCTACAGCAAAGAAAGCACAAGCTACCACTAAAATCCAGGCACTAAAGGGCACCATCACCCAAACATACACATCCAGTCTTTGTTTATTAACACTTACATATGGAAATAGGTATTCCCTGCTGCAGCTGATGTAATTACAGAGAAATCAATTTATACTGCATCTGCAGGGATCAGCTGAAAGCACAGAATGAGCTGAGCACAGAGCAGAAAATCAAGAGCCAATGAGCAGTTCATCAACAGGCCAGCTGCTTTGCAGGAAATTAGAAGCTGCTGAAGATGAAGGTAGCCTGAGCTAACCCTGGACTCAAACTTACTAGCCCTACAAACTCCATTTCCTGAGACACCAACTAAGATCATCACCTTCCCAAAGGAGGGACACAGACCTGACCCCTCCTGGGGCTGCAGGCACTAACCTTCCAAGTCAAGCAGAAACAAGGTATCATTTACACTATTTGGCAACGATAAAAACCACGAGGAGACTCTAATTCCCAATAGCTGCAGGAGATACCTGGCAAAGAGGCACACTTTCAGTGGCCAAAGAATATTTCTAGGCCAAGCTGTCACAGCCACAATAGTAACTCTTAAGGCCTGAGCAAGTTCTTCACAATACACTTAGTACCTCCTGCCCGTCATTTACCAGCCCGGATGCTGCGTCCCACTGCTCTTTGGTAGCCACCACAGAACACTTGGTAGATAACCCCATGAAATTTAATTAACCTTTGCTCTTCTAGAAACCCAGCAATACCATTTATTCCATTAATAGCACTCAAAATGAACATGTAACCAAAGATCTATTAAGTGCATCAACTATTATGACTTTGATGATGAAAGTCAATGAAGCAGGAAACCACATAAAGGTTTGATGTCAGCCTCTAGCAACAAACGTCTGAGGTGGGACAAAGACAAGGTAGCAGAAAATTCACGCTACCAAGCAGCTACCCCCAACAATATATACACTATTCCAAAATGTCCAAGCTGGCTGTAAATGGGTCTGTAGGGAATCCTCTAATTTGGAATAAAACCACATTATCATTACCAGCTGCTCTGACCTTGTAATTGGTCATTACCCACAAACTAATGAGCCTCCCACAGAGTGCACACAGCATTTGGCGGTTAATCCAGGGTAGTTTTGACTGGCAGTGGGCAGCCAGATCTGGCCACCTCTTACCTTTTCAGACTTGACTTTCTTTAGCGGGCGACACTCATTCTCCCCTTCCTCTGGCTCCGGTTTAGCTCCCAAAGGATTGAGCGCTGCCCCAGGCTCAATCGCTATACTCCCAAGTGGCTCCACAGCGCCTGTATCCACCCCTGCACTTCCATCATACTGACCACCCCGTCCTCCCAAGGCAACTGGCTGGAGGACCCCAGGATCCTTTTCTGAACAAGTCCCCACTCCTTCGCTTCTCTCCTTCTTGCTCTTAGACGAACTGTTCTCCTTCTCCTTTTTGGAGCCGGCTACACTGCGTGATGCCTTAGCCGCCTTCTCCGAGCCCTTGGGAGCAATAGCAGCAACCAGGCCTCCTGCATTGGCACCATCTCCTGAGCGCCCCTGCACCTCTTTCTTGCTAGCTGCCCCCTCACTTGGAGTGTACAAGGAAGTCCCTGGAGTAGGTTTGCTAGTGTCTTTGCCACTCTTATTCCTTTTGGATTTTGATTTGCCTTCCTTCCCTTGAGGACCTGGCACTGGGGTCACAAACTTGATGTTGTCTGGTAGTGTGGCCACAGCATTGGGAGCCGGTATCCCCACCTCCTTTGAGCCTGACATTTCCAGTTTCTGCTGGTCCTTTTCCAGATCGGCGTCCAGGTCAATGATGAGATTCCCTACTCCAATGTCCCATTCATCCCCACTGTCGTATGTCTCAACCGGGTTTGCATCCACTCCTTTCCCTCCGGAGGCTCCACTGCTCAAGGACATCTTAGAGTCAACGTCCCACCTCAAGATTCAAGGCTCTTCCTTGCCCCCAGCTTTCCTATTTTCAGCTTCAGCTATGTTCTCAGACCTGCCACATTGGTCAGTACATGCCCAGTGGACAACATCATTGCTGGAAAAAGAAAATTTAAAAAGCTGTTAAAGGAAACAATACAGGCAAGGAGACAGCCTGAAATAAACTCCCACACAAAACAGACCCTTTCTGTATGGCTGTCACACCACAATGGACAAGACAAACAGGTTAATGTGCATGTCTAACCAAATTACACTGAACCTAGGGAAGAGTTAACTCCCACTCCATCCCCAGGAGACAGTATATTTCCAATTGCCCAGAGAGTCTGTGATGAGTCTTGGGGTCCTCCAGAGTTAGTTTCCTTTTCCTCAGAGACTTACTTTTATACCAAGGCTAGCAAACAATCCACCCTTAATCAACATAGGTTAGGCCCTGGAATATCAATGATTAAAATTCTACTGCTAGTTTACTCATACCCCCTTTCTCCTTGCTTCTGCGAATGATTGAGCAAAGGTTTTTACAGTCCTCTATTAATAGGACCAGTCCCTACTAAAAATAGTATATGAAGAAATTCTTTGCCATTCTACAATTGGGAAGAAAAAGCCTAAGTATGGATGCATAAAAGAGAAAAAGCAAGCAGAATTTGGAAAGCTGCAGCTTCTAAAACTATTTTCAGAGAGACTCAGAATCATTTTAGGCCAAAGAAGTTACATCAGCCTTATCAAACTCCAGTTTTCTAATCAGGTACAAAAAGCAGGGTTAAATGTGGTCTTTCCCACATCCTAGTAAAATACTTATAAAGCAGGCATGGGGGCACATACCTGTAGTGCTACACTCTGGGAGGCTGAGGAAGGAGGATTTTGAGTCTGAACTCAGGCTGGGCAACTTAGCAAGACCCTATCTTCAAATCAAAGAAATTAAAAATGGGCTGGGATATAGCTCAATGTGAAGGCCTTGGGTCCAATCCCCAGTGCCACAACAAAACAAAACAAAACAAACTTGCCAGGATATGGAGTAACTCTGAACTTTCTTGTATTTTCTGACATAAAAATGATAGTACTGTATTGACAGAAACAGCAGGGTTTCATACCACATGGAAGAAAGGAAAAAAGGGGGCAAGGTAGTATTAAATGGCAATTCATACCTCTCCACTGTCTCCTGACTCAATAGGCCTAGGCAGTATAATATCTAGAAAACATGCAGTCAACATATACCATTCAGGTTTATTTTATGACAAAGCCAAAAAGTTCCATTCTTGCTTACTCTTCAGTGCATCATCTTTCTAGGTGCATTTAGAAAATAACTTATATAAGATAAAATGAGCACAAAGAGAAAATCAGTGTCATACTGTATGTACCCTGCAAGTGGCTATCTAAAAGTAAGTGCTATAGAAAGGAGAGAAACAAGACAAACTGTGTTTTTAACCTACTCCCTCAGAACAGCATCAAGGATCCAGAGTGCAGGAGCAAGAAATGATGTCACCCTAGAACAGCAAAGCTGTACCAGGGGAAGGTGTGCTAGCAACTATGATTTAAAGGGTGAATATTAATTTGACATTTAGCTACAGACTTGAGTAGAAAATATATCCATGACCAGAGTGGGAAGCTTACGGCCAACAGCATTTGACCACTGCTTATCAGCAAATGTCAAGCTTCTGGAGTTCTTACTTCATACAGGCTAAACAAAGGTGTGCGTGGGGGGGAAGATGTGGATGTATGACAAAAAGTCACCCACAAGATAAAGGAAATATAATCCCTGGAAAAACAGAGATGGGACCTTTGAAAATGATAAAAAATTCTGAAGGAATTTTTAGTAAGTGGAATTTACTAATAAATATTGGAATGCTCAATAGTACACATAAATACTTGGCCTCCATGAAAGAGTAATAATTTATTTGATGTTTTTAAATTTTATTGCCTGCTATGGGCCAGGCACTGAACTAGGTACCTGCTGAGAATACAGCAGTGAAGAAAAAGAGTGAATAAGGCAACGGAACATGGTATTGAAAATAATTCTACTATGAGGAGCTGAGGGTATTTCTAGAAAAGGCAAGGTTTTTTGTTTTTGTTTTTGTTTTTGTTTTTTTGGTACCAGGGATCAAACAAGGGTCCTTGCAATTGCGAGGCAGGCAGTGGAACCACTGAACTAAATCTCTGACCCTTGAAAAGGCAATGTTAAACTCAGGCTCCACTATGAGGATTATTATTAGGGCATGTATTTTCCCTAAAATCATAATTTATCACCTCTGTAATCTTTGTCATTATAGCTAGGGTTAGTGCATAATCCACATTAATCCAAGGTTTACTCTCTATATTCCATAGCTGCACTACCATTAGCATGCAATTTAATCACCAACACAACTCCACGTTGTTTCATCCTTGGAAACACAAAACTTTTCTATATAAAAACAGGATGGCAATTAAGAAAGACTTGAGGATTATATAAAGGAAAGCATACACATATAAAGAAAGTGCTCACTGAGCTTCTGATGGTTATCACACTATTACTCTGGCTGACCAGATGTATGGGACAGGATAAATAAAGTATGCCAATAAGGAAGAGAGTATGCCAATAAGAAGATGACAGGCTGAAATGATATAAAACTTAGATGAAAGAACAAAAGCACAGGGCCGATGATTTAGCTCAGTGGTTCTGCCACCTGCTTCACAAGCACAAAGTCCCGAGTTCAATCACCGTACCAAAAATAAATTAATAAACAAACAAAAGCACATATAGAACAAGACAGCCACAGTGGTGCTCGCCTGTAATCCCAGTTCTGGGAAAGCTGAGGCAGTAGAATCACGAGTTTGAAGCAAGCTTGGGCTATGTAATGAGTTCAAGGACAATCTGAACTACTTGATGAGACCCATTCTCAAAAAACAAAACAAAACAGGGCCAGGGATTGGGCAAGGTCCCAAGTTCAATCCCTGGTACCCCCCCAAAAAAACCCTAACAAAGGGGAGACAAGGGTATGACACACTGGTAGAGGGCTATGTAAATAAATGTACAAGGTCCCAGGTTACATCACCAGTGGTTACTGTACATTCACACACACAAAGATACAAGCAATATCGATTAAAATTCATACAGAAATCAGAAAAGCACAGCAATAAAACAGTGAGGAATGAATCAATAACATATAAGACACTTAGATATTTTCCCAGAATTAAACACAATTGGATGATGAAGAGAAAAAAATGAAGCAAACAGAACTCAAGGGTGAACGTCACTGAAGGAAAATGAGATTAGAACAAATGGGAGAAGAGCAACATACGGAAGACATTCTACATGAATAACATTTTGAACAGAACAAAGATTTTGCATGCAGACTGGAAAAGTTCAGCACATTTTCAACAAAATTAATTTAAAAAGATAAACTTGCACACATTTTGGCAAATTTTTTTAAAATATAAAGGACAGGGGTCAGGGATTTAGCTCAGTGGTTCCACCGCCTGCCTTGCAAGCACAAGATCCCAAGTTCGATCCCAGGTACCAAAAACAAAACAAACAAAAAGAGGACAAAAAATTGGGCCAACTTCAGATTACTTTGCAATATTAATTGTTGAAAGAGAACAACAATCTACAGAATTTGGAAGAGAAAATATTTAATCTTAAACTAAATCAGGTTGTTTCTCACATGTAAAGTTTATTTACGGTTATGTAGTGACATATATCTTGTCAAAAATTAGCTAGAACACTAAAATCAGTTCAAAGTAGCACAAATTTAAGTAATTCTTACAAATCAAACACCATTAAATTTGGTAACATGAAGGGAAAGCTCAACACATACACTAAAAATTATCCCTAAAAAGAAAAGGAGGTAAAAATCAATACTGTATAATAATGTTAAAGCTCAGAAATTCAGCCCTAATACCAAGAAATAAAGACAAACCATAAGTTACAAAAACACCTGAGCAGGGGCTGGGGATTTACCTCAGTGGTCCCACTGCCTGCCTCACAAGCACAAGGTCCCCCGTACAAAACAACAACAATGGCAACAAAACACCCGATCCAGGCATGATGGCATATACCTATAATCCCAGCTACTTGGGAGGCTGAGGCAGAAAGATAAAAAATTTGAGGTCACACTGGGCAACTTAGTGAGACACTAAATAATCAAGCCAGGCTCGGACACAGTGGTATACACCTACAAGTACTCAGGAGGCTGAAGGAGAAGCTCTGCTGTGAGTGTGAGGCCACCCTGGGCTATAGGGAGTTCAAGGCCAGCCTGAAGTACAGAGCGAGACCCTGCCTCAAACAAACACACAAACAAAAAACACTGAATATGGTGGTATATACTTGTAATCTCAGCACTCTGGAAGGTTGAGGCAGGAGGATCACAAGGTCAAGCCTCATCTGAGCAACTTAGTGACTTGGTGAGAATGAGGGGAATGGTCATCTTACAAAAAAGTTAACCCTCAATTTCCTGTTGTTCCAATTGCATATACCACAACCTGTTTTGTTCTGGTTTTAGTTTGTTCTTTCTAGTAAGCAAGTAATACTCTACCATTACATTTTTTTAAAAAGTGTGCTTCTTCTGAAAAGAGAGCTAGAGGTAACAAGAGTATCTGGGGATCTGTGTCTTTATCTTGAGATAGTTGCTAAGTGTAAGGATACACTGCAAAGTACAGTATGGTAAGACTGGGAAGCCACTTTGTAAGCAAAGAAAAGGTCTTAGAAAATAGTTTCTTACTCTAGCAAGAACAACACTGAAGGGAGAAGGGCTGGTTAGCTTCAAATATATAATGGTTACAATGTGGAAGAGAGAGTTATTCTGTGATGCTTAGGGTACAAGGAATTAGTAAGAAATTACAGAAAGAAGTTTAACTCAGAAAAGAAATTTAATGAACTGAGATTTCCAACAATAACCTACAAATGTTTAAGAAAGCCATGTCTATCACTGAAAGCATATAAGCAGAAAAGGCAAAAATCACTTGTCAGATAAACAGATGAATAAGTAAATGATTCCTCTCTGTGAGATAGGCTTCATCTAGACACATTTAGGGCCTTCTTAAAATCTGTAATTCCATTGATGCGGGAGCCAGGAATTTAGCTCAGTGGTTCTGCTGCCTCCCTTGCAAGCGCAAAGTCCTGAGTTT